GGTTTTGGTATACGTTAAAAGTTTAGGCGCAAAAGAGACTGTACGATAAAATAATCAGATATTAACGTTGTACGTTCTTCCCATTGTAAAATCACTTTTGGTGAGTAAAGTAATGATTTTTGGGGAGTTCCCTCTCTGTTATTTAACTATCTCGACAACCATTAGACTTAGTAAGGTTCATTGGGCAAGCAGTTTGTGTTCGACTTTTCTCTATCTTTTTTTTTACAACTTTTTTCTTTCGCTCCAATAAGAATTTAAAAAAGTTTTGCCCGACATGCGCGCAGAAGAGTCTTTGTGTAAAATGTTCAATATTTTCCTTATACTCGTATTTGAACCAGAATTGGCATGTATGCGCAAATTTTAGTAAAACTTCTCAGTATCAAATTTCATGAAAAACCGTTCATTGGTTCTCCAGTTTTTTCATGGTTACAGATAGAAGGACAGACAGAACAGTTTCCATAAACGCTTCCGCTGGTAGGAATGCGCTGCAGAACGAATAGGAACCTACTCTTTTTGTAATACATATTGTCACGTGTATGAATGACTATAGACGGGATTTGGTTTGGTAATTGGATTTATTGACCACTTACAGTTCCGTGACTACCAATATTTATAACCGTTTCACTAATTCGCACACATTACAGATCACTAGAGCGCACGATAAATCTTCTTAATCTGCCTTGACTCATCGTTTTCTGGTATCGGATCTCACTCGCTTCCTTACTGTTCGGCGGATGTCTGACGACTGACTCGTTGCTCCAACTGTCGATTCTCAACTAACTGTTCTGATTATCACATATCGGCACGGACCGCAAAGAAAACACTGTTCCTGTGTTGCTGTTCATTTTCTAAGAGGTTTGTTTGAGAAGCCGTTACTCAGCAACGGCTGTTGTGTATTTTCTTATCTCGTGGTCGTTGTCCAGCAACGGGTCTACATGTTACATTATTAATCTTAGGTTTTCATGTAGGCACCGACAGATCCAGAGTTCTAAACTGAATATTGAAAATCATTATTGATATATGGGAGTTATGGTTTTAAGTTTTAGTTCGTCCGAAGCAGAAGTCTTAGAGAGGTTTTATACTCAACAGCTTTCATTATGTCAGTGCTTTGCCTTGTGGTGCATACGTGGAAATTTCCCTCCTTTGCCATCAGGTTAACTGTGTTTGCAGTTTACAACTCGATCATTATCTGTGTCACTCCTGTCGCATTCTCACCCCCTCCTTCCCCTCTTGACAATCAGCCAGATTAGCTGCCGACACCAAGTTTTATAGGCATTTTCAAAATGTTTCGCCCCGAAAATCCGCCCTTCTACGACTTTAATTCTTAGTTATAAATGGTAGAGGAAATGTGAAGGCTTTGTGTGCCATCACCCCACTAAGTCACAAGTACAGTAAGCGCGTATAAAATTGGATCACAAATAATTGGCATCAGACGTGTTGTTTGCACGTCTTTATTAGTGGCAGTTACATTTTAAACCCCTTATGTTTTCCGAAAATATTGTCACGTGTATTATGGTCGTGACCAATAATAACAGGTTCTGGATTGGATGATTGGATTTATTAACACCATATATAATCATCTCAGACTTACATGCAAAATAAGGCTATCGCTGATTTACACAATTTACAGTTCACTGTTACACACGCACTACGATTCTCAGTTTTCGCTAGTCGTATCCTGGTAACGGAACTAAAATAGTCTCACTGTGAATAAATCTTACAATTAAAACACTGAGTCTTCATAAGCTGACTTCTAATTCTTCCCCAACTACTAACTTCCCGTAGATATCTTCCCCCAACAACTGAACTAACCCATAGTCAAAGTCACATTGCGACTAACGATCAGTCAGTCAGTAAGTCTTGTGGGGCTCATGACCAGTTATTTATTACTGTTTGACAGTTACGGTCTTGTTTTTTGTGGGGTGCCCTCTCTGACGAGAGGACGGGTCTGTTTTTTTGTTTGCCAGCTCAGTCATTCTCGGGTCTGAGTCCCTTGGAACTCGCGACCATATTTTACTGTCTCAGATTTGAGACTTCCCTTTCCGTCGCCTCCTACGACTCGCAGGGTCACGGTGGAGGTATTCGACCCCGCCTTCACACGGGGAATGAACTAACTCCCATTCCCGTATTCACTTATACCGTAGCGGCGCGGACAACGCAGCACTGGAAACACAACTTCTATTGTTGACGAAGCCTATTTATCTTGCCGTTGCCTAGCAATGAATATCACGTTACAATATCAAATTCAGTTGTTGATAAGAAAGTGCAAGAGAGAGAATTAGAAGGGAAATATATAAATGGGATCTGTGCAAATTATACTGTCGACATTAATTCGAAAATCGAAATTCTGTGGCCCCTATCTCAAACCATTCTAGCGTTCTCATTTTCACACTTCTGTTATCAGACGGGTGAGCGGGAGGTGCGTGGGAACTTGCTAACAACACGATGCTGTTTCTCCCTCCGCACAGTAAACTGTCTCACTTTTCCCATGACTTTTCACTTTCACTTACTCTTCTGCTATTCCTCCTATCTCTTCCTCTCTTCAGTCTCTAGCTGGTTACTATCAATCATCCTACTTTTTCCTTGCTTGGAAAGGTAACAGTGCTGTTGGTAAATTCCCTTACCAAAAGGAACCCGAAAGTTCATTACCTCTCGTCTTTACACTTGCACCCAACTTGGATCCTGTGAGTCCTTCTTCTGGGATTAACACCCTGTAGTCCGTTGAAAGTCAACTGACGTTTCGGGGGAACATGTCGCATCCATATTTTAGTTTTAAAAGTAATACAAGTAAGAAGGCCGCGCTATAGCTCAAGCGGTTAGTCGCTGGCTTCCCACCGCGGCGGCCCGGGTTCGATCCCGGGTCTGGTCAATGGGATTTGTGGTGGACAAAGTGGCGTTGGGCCATGTTTTCTCCGAGTACTTCGGTTTCCCCTGTCAATCTTCATTCCGCCAAATTCTCCATCGTCATAATTACCCGGGGCAGGTACAATTGGTCAATTAATGGCCGCCGTGCCGAGTGGATCCAACTGGACTGGAGGTGCCTAGTTCGAATCTCATCTGAAGCACCAACTGTCCCGATTGGGATTTTCATGATTTTTCTCGTGTTCTTCCAGCGAAATGCCCACGACAACTTGTTTCCACGTCCTTTCAAATTAAGCGTACATTAGTCACCTTACCAATCGACTCCAGCCTGAGTAGATGAGGGGCCGCTGAATAAATCACCACGTTCACAAACCGAAACGTCGTTTTTGTATAAAATACAAGTGAGACGGTGAACGAAGTCCAAGATGATAATTCTTAACGAAATTTGATCTGTATAAACTAAATGTTAGTCTCATAAGTTAATGTGACTTAATTCTATTAATATGTACCTCGTGAAGAGTTCTGTATTCTGGAATATAACGCTGTATAGTCCGATGAATGTCAGCCGACGTTTCAGGGGAGCAGTAGCTGCCTGCTCAATGCTGGTTTCTTGCTTAGCTTTCTCTTCAGCGCTTTAAGACTTCCACTGGACTTCACGGCGTCATATCCCAAAGATATTATTCTTCTTAACCACCGCCCTGAGAATATAAAATCCTTTATCTAAATGTTTCCTGCTTAGGAGCAGAGACGACGTCTGTACGGAGAATCATGTTCCTGCGACTGTATTACGCATGTTACCTCTTGATGAACGTCTTGAAACGCTGAATTCCCATTGCATTTGCACACTTTCGCTTTTTATGTGAACTTACAAAGGAGCCGGGATAGCTCAGTCAGTATAGCGACTACGGGCTGGACGACCAAAGGGTTGGGATTCGAATCCCGGTATAGTCACGAATTTCTCTTTTGTACGTCTTCCAGATCGCCTCTGGGGTCCACCCGACCTCCTATCTAATTGGTACCGTTGGGCTCTTTCCTCGGGGGTAAAGCGGCCGGGGCGTGAAGTTGACCACTCGGAAATTAGTGCCGAGGTCAAGAAAATATGGATCTACACATCCACTTCCCCATACGACTTTATGGCGTAGTACTTAATTACTTAGGCACAGGGAGAACTTAACCTTTTACTCAAAATGAATTCAGTTTTTTCGAAAGATATTTGATATTTCGATGGGAGGAAATGCCAATATTTTAAACTGTAAAAGTTATGTTGTTCTGAAGATTACTCTCTTCTGGGATGTGACACCCTGTAGTCGGATAGATCATTACTACTTTACCCACACACTTCCATCTTTAATGCCACGTTATTTACAATTAATCTTTAATTCAAAGTAATGTTAAAATTAAACTGCTACATGTTTCGGCCATACTTTGCCATCCTCAGGCAACTGTTCACTTGCTGAAACTGCTACACTACATTAGTTCTTAAGTTAAAATATTTTTAATGCTATTCCATTTTCGTCGTTCACTCACTAAAATACGTTTTCTCGAGAACATCACTCTTAATCTTTTCTTGCAGCGTCCCTGTTTTTCGTGGGGGTTCTTTTTTTCCTTGGTACTGCAGCCCCAGTGGGCCTAGGCCTACCTCCATGAACTTCTCCGTTTCACTTCGGTTTTTCTAGATCTTACACATTCGGTAGGACTCCTTGGGCGGGTGATCAGCTCGTCGCAAGGCCTCTACCTATACACGAACACAGAAAAACGCACACAAATATCCATGCCCTGAGTGGGATTCGAACTCACGATCCCGGCTTCCGAGCGAGCTAAGACAATGCACGCCTTAGACCGCTCAGCTACCGTGACCGGCGTTGTTTTGTTTAGCCCTATGTATATCGGCGTAGTGTTATCTTTGTTGCTCTTATGTGCCCCATTAGTATGTATGTTCTCCCATGGTTGCTGAGTGTATGTCACTTTCTTATTATCATTATTAACTCTTCGAAGGAGCCTGCTGCCTCTGTCTTCAGGGTTGAAAAGAGATTTCAGACTACACGGCATCATATTCCATAAGACAGTAATCTTCATGGTCACCGCCATGAGACCTCAAAGCTTTTACTTTCCTAATTGTGGTTTCTATTTGTTTGCAGGTACTGAACTTCAGAAGTAAAATCCGTATGAGAGAAGACCAAGAGACATCTTGAAGAAGCAAATGACATTTCTTTTCTAAATTAACTTTAAAAAATATGAAGATCTACAGAAGAAATTGTATTTGAGCTTAATTAATTTAGTGTTCAATCTTACGAACACTAGTACCAAGGGTGGTTTTGTGTACAGTTTGTGCCTGTCGTTCTGAATTAGAAACTTGATTCATTTTCATTCTGGAGGTGCGGCGAGGCTGATTTTCAACTGTATTATCTATCATAAGGTTCCCACATATTTAATTTGGCCGTATTTATTTTTTTCAACTTTGCTAAGGGTGCTAAGTTTCTCATTTGGCCTGCTTTTATTTCTCTTTTGCCTCTGTCGCCCCAATTTTATATCACACCACCCTATTTAACAACTTGTTCAGTTTCCCCTCTTCATTATAAAATATGACTCATGATCGTTGTTTTATCGAAGTGTTCTGCTTTTACATTTAAGTATTTGCTTTGTTCTAGATTTATCCCTTTCTCGGTTTATTGGATTTCTTTAATGTTTAAATTTAACTGCTCGATCTATTGGTTTATTTTCCAGCACATCATTTGATCCGAAAACTTCCACTATTTCTTTCTTGACTCACGCGCCTTTTTCTGCTTTAATTTTACAATAATAAGTGTTGCTAGCGCGTTCTTGTAAAGAGAAGTTGCCGGACACACATTTGACACTGAAAAAATAAACGGAGCCTGTATTTGTTGTGGCTCCTCTGTTGTTTCTAGTTTTGCATCCCTGTAATAAATGAACTTCAGTCATTCAGAAGTGCCTAGCCGGACACAGAATCTGTTGTTATATGGAGTGAAACTGGTGGTTGTGCATGGCATCATATAAAGCGATGTCATTGTTGAGTCAAGAGTATCGTATGACTTTCAGAAATGTGTTGTCCTAGCTACGTCGAGCTCAATTCAATCCAGTTTTATGATAATTCAGATTTGTAATCTCGAATTAAAAATGAAGCCTAAATTTTTAATAAAATATATTATTTACATCTTCAGAAATCTATGAAAAAAGTTTGAATATTAAAAAAATATAATTTTTCTAAATTAAATTGTATGTAAAATGTCTACTTTGTGTTTATGTCAAGTTGATATGTTCAGTGCTCCGTGGCAGCCATTCCAGACGCTTTACTTTGTTTGTTATGTGATGTAAGAAGACAAATGCTATATATACAGGGTGAACAATTTATCTCTTAATTTACTGCTCTGTACCTTTAGACATACAGGTCATATCTTGGCCCTGTTTCCATCACATTTAGCCCTTATGGACAGATTGTAGGTCAGATCGCTATCATTGAAATGGCCATATTCTGTAACATCTCTTTAAGTTACAGAACTTGCTGTTACATATTCAGTGCGTGTTGTGATTAATAGTCAATCAGTTCATCACATTTCGTTCGTTGTAGTATTATGTTCCTACCTGCGCCACGGTTCCCAACTGATCCATTTCCTTCAGGTATTTCTACTAACCAATAAATCAAATATGAAACATGAATTCAGCAGTGAAAGGTAATTATAATTTTGTTTCTTTGCTCCCCAGTCAGTTTACTTTATTTTTTTCTCGTGGCTTATTTTGGTACATTTGTTAGCAAACTTCTAATTGCTAAGATATCCATTACAGTACGTCGAGTTGTCTGATCGTTATTAATAAGAGTTGCCTGTACTCCAAAGCTAATTTTATGGTGTAATACTATTCACAATATTGTAGCATCGCAAAATATTTTGTCGTAATCAACTAGTGAAGTAATTAGTGACAATATAAAGTGAAAAAATTATATGGAGATTGTGCCTTTCCACCCGTCAATACCCATTGTATTTCGATTAATTCCCAAATAGGGGTGCAAAATAAAATTTGTTCGGCGTGATCAATTTTCGTTCTTATCAATTTAATACAGCCCGAGCTCTTCTTGACACGAAACCCAGATCATAGCTTATAAGTTTCCTCTAAAATATCTTTCTGTAAAAATAAAAATTGCTGCGTAACATAAATTATAATTCACATTAAAATCTATATCGTGTATTTTTAATATTTTGGACTTGTCATGTATTTTATTAAACACCAGGAAATCCAATGTTGTATCTTTATGCTATGCATCCTGTTGTGTGTCGTTTACGAAAAGATATAATTTGGGACAGTCACGACTCTTATGCGACTTTCCGAAATTATGTCTTTTAGTAATATCAGTAATGTGCTTGATTACCTTTTCAATACTATACCCATGTCTTGAATTTATAGTTACACCTCTTTTTGTAATTTTCTAAATCAAATTAGTTAATAATTTAGTACTTGCATATACTATCATATGTACTGTTTATTTAATGAATTTACTTTATTGTGAAAATAAGAAATCGAAAGAATATCCCACTTAAATACTTCACTAGTTCATTACCTTCCTGATTCACCTGTAAGCCAAATACTGACAAATCTGAGGAAATGCTTAAGTAATCCATTCCCATCGCTAACCAAATGTTATGCACGTGAGCTGGATAAATAAGTTTCAGGGACAGAGGAATTTTGGGTTTTCCTTACTGTCCTAAACATGCAGAGCTATGTTAACCCATCCACAGACAAGCAAACTGAAACCTGTTGTATCTCCTGCTATGGTTTCTAGGTTAACTTCATGCGCAATTTCGCAAATGTTGTAAACACGATTTGCAGGACGTTCGTTTTTCCAACATCAAGGTCACCTTAGCTTCCGAATGAGTGGACGAATACTATCCTAGCTCTCTCCGTTCATTGATAACTGCAGTTGCCGTAACATTTTTAAGTACGCTTGCTTCCAAAGAAAATTGTCCTTTTGTGTTTGACGCAAACCTCGTTACGTTACTGTTAACATTACTGTGACTTCTGTTTATTCAAACAGCACACACTTCATCTAGGATAAATCTTAATACCATAGTCTAAATGAAAACTTCATTTTCAAGTAAGTTTATCCTAATCTTGTGCTGAGTTTTCTCTTAGTGAAAAGGACGCAATTCAGAATATGTTTGCACGTGAACAATATGAGCACACTGCAATTACGGGCGAGGGGAAGTTCGAAACAGATTAATGTGCAGATTACAAATGTTGATGGCAAAGTGTGCGCGCAGTGGCTCCTCATTTGCGGTTTACTGTGACACTCCTGCCTCGCATTCTAGATGTCGCGAGTTCGATTCCCGTCACCCGGCTATTTTCTCCTAGGTTTTTCGTGAATTTTCTCAGTTAATCTAGATTTTACCTTAAACATGTCTCGGCCATTTCTTCCCATTCGTCTCTATATCGCATGAGCTGCTCAGAAACAGTTATTAATTGAACTAATAGATGGATGCTACTCCGGCTCATTCGGCAGTGGAATAGCCGTTCGCTTTAGCGATTAATGATGTAACATGCTTTTAATTGCCGCAAGATGCAAACATATCCCCAGAGTTGTCAGTATACTTTGTTGCCCTTTCGTTGCAATAGGTAATGCAGACAGTACATAAAATTACTTTGAATATATTACATAATTTTTATTTTCATAATTTTTGTCATATTGGTGGCTTATTTATGCAAATAAATTATATACATAAATGATGTAAAATATGATTTACTTGGCTGAAATATTCCCCGTATGTTTTCCTTCCTTCTTCCAGAAGTTCAGATCAGATCCTGGGGCCTTTTCTTGCTACTCAGAAGGTCTTTGGTAAAGGCACGGTAACACTGTCCCTGTGCTCAACTAATTAAGCACTACGCCGTGAAGGCGTATGGGGCAGCGGATTTATAGATCCGCATTTTTTTGACCTCGACATTAGTTGGAGTTGAGTGGTCAGCTTCACGTCCCGGTCACTTCACCCCCGGGGAAGGAGCCCAGGGTACCCATTGGATAGGTTGGATTGACCCCCAGAGCCGGCCTGGATGACGTGGAGAAGAGAAAATTCATGACCCTACCGGGACTCGAACTCCGACACCTCAGTCCAGCCACTATCCATTCGCTATACCGACTACGCTATTCCGGCTCACTGAAGGTCTTCGGTACGTATCTTTACTGCAATGAAAGCCTTTCCATGGGTTTTCTCAGTTTCACTGTAATACTTCATATAAATCAACGAATGTGTTCATTGTGTTTTTAATTTGGAACAGTATCTTGTTAGGAGTTTATCTTTTTTTTTATTGCTAGTGGGGTGGGACTAAGTCCCGTGTACTGCGGCCACTTCTGGCCTATGTACCAGCCCCAGATGATAGGTGAGGGTGATTGTGGAGCAACTGGTGAAATGAAGATTGGCAGGGGAAACCGAAGTACCCGGAAAAAAAACCCTGCCCCAGCACCACTTTGTCCACCACAAATCCCACTTGACCAGACCCGGGATCGAACCCGGGCCGCCGCGGTGGGAAGCCAGCGACTAACGGCTTGAGCTATGGCACGAGATAGGAGTTCATCTTAGTAACGCATCTGCCGTACATTTCGGAATGTGGGTTCGACTTCTGGTAAGTGAACTACCTATCATGGGTTAAGATTTTTCCTCTTCTTTTCTCATCTGAATGCTCTGTGTTTTTATGATATATCAGCGTACTAAAAAATTAAAACTTATTACAGCTCAGTCCTTTTCAGTATCATTTATTTATGCTATGTTATGTTCCCATTCGTAACTATTTCTAACCCTACCATTCCGCTAACAGCCCACAATATATGCAGAAAGTGTGTTTTACATTCATGGATTTCTTAAGCGTTGTTCCTTAAGAATTAAAATGTCTCCATTGCAGACTATTGGTTATTTCGGACGTTATACTCTAGCGTGACTGAGTCTTGGACTGCTTAACGATACATTTCAACTGCAGGAAACCCTTCGAATTAGATGCGGACGTGGGAATGAATAGTGAATAGATGTTCTATAATGGAGCATTCAGGGCATATTCCTATGAAATACCCCGGAGTTCTTCTGGAGAGACTGAGGAAAATCACGAGAAATCTTAGGTTAGCCGACAGCATGGTTAATATTCGATCCCCATGCGTACAGATTACAAGCTTAGAGTGTCGCTTCTACACTAAACTGCTTGTGACCTTCTGTGTGGCCTAGTGGTCAGAGTTCCTGGCTACAGATCCAGAGGTCCCGGGTTCGATTCCCGGCACTACCACATTTTGGCCGCGCAATAACTCAAGCGGTTAGTCGCTGGCTTCCCACTGCTGAGGTCCGGGTTCGATCCCGGGTCTGGTCAAGATGAATTTGTGGTGGACAAAGTGGCGCTGGGGCAGGTTTTCTCCGAGTACTTCGGTTTCCCCTGCCAATCTTCATTCCACCAATTGCTCCACAATCACCCTCACCATCATCTGGGGCTGGTACAATAGGCCAGAAGTGGCCGCAGTACAAGGGACTTAGTCCCACCCCACTAGCAATTAAAAAAATAAATGTTTGTGGCTTTTATGTGACTTCATGCTCATGATCCCTGTTGATCTGGTTACGTCAAGCGCTCTTTCGCACGATCTTCTTGGTTCTCCGAGTTTTTAAAATTTGGAATATAGTAGCATTATTTGAAGTATATAACGTAGACGCATTGTTGTCCTTCCGTTGGGCGATATGACATGGGCCTTATTTGCGAGTTTAAACATAATTAATTTTTACAGTAACTGCGATTACAGATGAGTATTGAATTATATATCCCTCCTTTTGTTATTTCTTCTAATTAATATACATATAGGCCTAAATGGTGGTCACAATAGCCGCGTGGTCTAGAGCATGAACTGTCTTCCCTGGCTCGGACGCTGGGATCATGGGTTCGAATACCACTTAAGGCATGGATGTGTGGTGTGTTCATTCCGTGTTTGTGTTGTCCTGTGTTTAGGTGGAGGCTTTGCGACGGGCTGATCACTCGTCCAAGGAGTCCTACCGTCTGCGAAAAATGATTACGGAACTGAATAAGTGGTCTGGGCCTTGAGTGGGCTGGAAGAATCATTGAAAAATGTATACATATAAACATAAAGTTCGTACCTAACAGGAGATAGTGACATATATGTATAGTAACCACTGGGCTTGAAAGAGTTAAAAGCATATCTTGGGTATGTTGTAAGCATCTTTTACTCGTTGCTGCAAACAAATTTTACTGATAGAAGTAAACAGAAATCATTTATATGTATTGTGTTGCCGCTAAATACGTTAGATAATGAGAAACATGTCGGACGATTTTTTTGTGAATTCTAATTAGAATTATGCTTGTAAGAATTTAACTTTTTGTCGTAACTTTCTCGCGGCTGCATTTTGTTTGAGACATGAATTCTATCTATCAGCGAATTATTATAAATATGTTGGTAGCAGTAAAGTATTTTTTTCCCTGTGAATAACGTGTTTTAAATCATTATGCTATCTGTAACATATTTAAATTTCCCACTCATATAAAGTAGGCAGATCCTAAATTGAAACAACCCTGCCTTGGTTACGTTCGTACCTGTCACTTGAAACTTGATCTGTCGTGTAGACATACTGAACGCACTCTGGCTGGTGCAGAACAGAAGACAGTAGACGATGCGTCTTTCGTTTGTCACACGAAGTGAAGTAACCAACATCAAAGAAAAGCAGTTCGAAGTGGGTACGAAGTTTATTTGGAGGTTATAAATGCAGTTGAATGGATCTGTGTATTTTAGCATGTAATTCAGCCAGCTTCAACTGAAATTGTTTCTTACTGTTGTTTTTGCGTATTGGCTTCTCATTAATAGGCCTGCACTGGTGTTTATAAAGGTAAAATATCTTGTTATTATTCATATTAGAACATCGAAGGTCATAAGTAAACCCGCTCTTTTCTCCCGCGCTCTACTGTTCAGTGAAATGTGGTGGTATTGGACACAATAGTGATGTTCTCTTGTAGGAAAATCATTTCTAAGCAAAATATTTGTGTTGTTTTCTTAATTGTTAGTGACGTAAGAGAAACATTGTGGAGTGTTCGTTCTTTCAGAGTTTTTTCTTGACATATTTCTGCATGGAGTATAACTTTAATAAATGTTCCGGTTGTGATGTCACTTGGGGACTGCACCCTGCTGTCTGCAGATGCCATGATATTGTAACCTCACCTATGTAAGTTCACAAGCGGCTAGTGGTACTGATACAGCGTGTTAGTGAAACATCCAGACGTGACATTTAGTTTGCAATTCTAGGGCCGGTACAGTTCTTGCTAAGGAAAAACGTTCTTTATTTCTGTGTCATGTGAACACAAGACATGGAACAATGGACACGAAAAAATGTGTGGACGAAGTGCTGTGTTGCAATGATTTTCAGTTCTTCAAATTGTGAGTTTTATGTAGGCGCACTACACTGTACAGACATGGAAAAGTGGACGTATCTTCAAGGTCTATCAGACAGCAAAGCCTTTCACTGCATCTTGTGACACGCGTTGGGAGTTGGTGAGTACAAAGCAAATGTTATTGTAGTAGTTATTATTGTTCTCTATCATCGCACCATAAACCGAATGCATTCTGTGCTGAAAACGTAGAGTATGAAAGTCTGTATATATGTGCTGATTTTTTTTGCAATCTCTATTGCAGAATGTAATTGAAGCAGTAATCCTGCTAGACGTGGGGATGTAATTAAATCACTTGCTCTCCAACAAATATAAAATAAAAATAATTGTAGCCCTATTTTCTAGATAAGTATCATTTTATTGTTGGGGTACGCGGTAGCGTAGTTGTTGGTTGAGGTACTACACTACAAACCGGAAGGTAGCGGGTTCGAGTCCCGATTAGGTGGATTTTTTTTTATTTACCTAATCCTTCCAGGCGCACTATGGCCCTGGAGTGGCTGCTCCATAGCTCAAGCGGTTAGTCGCTAGCTTCCCACCGCGGCGTTCCGGGTTCGAGGCCTGGTCTCGTCAAGTGGGATTTGTGGTGGACAAAGTGGCGCTGGGACAGGTTTTCCCCGAGTACTTCTTTTTCCCCTACCAATCTTCATTCCACTAAATTCTCCATCATCATAGTCACCCGTGGAAGGTGCAACAGGCCAATCAGTGGCCGACGTGCCGAGTGGACCCAACTGGACTCCACCCCCCACTGTGCGAATTAAAAAAATGGACCTAGGGTCGACTCAGCCTCTAACAGAAATGAGTACCAGGAACTTTCCAGGGGTAAACAACCTTAGCGCCATCTGTGAGTCGATTGTCTAGACAAATTTTGGGAGCCTCGACGTCTCACAGTCCTTTGGACCTGCATGGCCTGTTACAGGGATAGCTTTACTTTTATTATTTTATTATTATTATCATTATTAGTATTTGATGACGCGAGTCATTACAGTGCGATATGCTTATGTACTTATTTTATTTCGTAGCCGTATTATAGAGCAGACATAAATATTAAGAGTAGAACATAAACTTCGACTACATTTCTCCTTCAGTCGCTGCCTTTGGTTTATTAAAACTGATTTGGTTTCGGCTACAGTCTAAAAGGCGTCCATATTTAAAATTGACCAGCTGCCTTAGAAATAATACAGATGTATGCGCGCCGAAGCTGAGCAGAACTGTCCAAGTTTAATTAATTTTAATTATGGAAGGCGATGAAAGACAATGGCCAGCACCGTTAGTCATCGAAACAAAGGGTTCGAACAACTCAATTCATTCTAGATTTAATAACTCGATTCACAACAAAGGTGTCCGCTTATCAATATGCACCATCTTTCGCATCGTCATGCACCATTATTGCGTGTACAGACTGTTCCAAAAGAGTTGTTCTCGGTGAAATGGATGTGTTCAAAACAACAGCAGTTCTTCAACTTGACACTGAATGGTGAGAGTATCATACTTCTGTGCTGAAATTTGGTGGGGGGGGGATTTGTTTTTATGCCCGTTTCGGTACAATAGCGAGCCAGGATAGCTCAGTTGCTAGTATGACTAGGCACGGAATGGACGACCAGGGGATATGAGTTCGCTTTCAGTCGGGGGCAGAAGTTTTCTGTTCCCGCCCCTTCCAGTCCGTCTGTGTGACCCACACTGTCTCATATCCAGTGGGTAGAGAGGGCTGTTTGCCCGGAGTTGATGCGGCCAGGCCGTAAATCTAACCCCTTACCTTCGTCTGGTGGAGCTGTACATCTACTCCCACATACGTGGGATTCAAATATATGCCGTTTCCCCGGGGTAAGCAGTTTGCTGGTGACTTTCTGACGGCTCTCTCTCCTGAGTTTCAGAACTTGGTTCCATCTGGATATGCCTTAAGTACATGACGGAAGGACAGAATGAAAATCATATGTTGATTATGGTGTCGTAGTTTTCATATATAATTATATGGAAGGCAGTTTTCAGGAAAATGCATTTATCCCATGCGTGTTCTCTGGAGACTGATTAGCTTTGCAACAATAAATTTCTTTCTGAAATGAACGAATATGAAGGTCGGTGAGATGTGGAAATTTGTAACGATTGCATTTGGAAGTATGTGCTCTTTAGTTGAATATACCTTTCCGGCATTTTGGTTTTCAGTTTTTATTTAGCCCTATATTAAGGCATTGCGTCCAGGTATGCAGAACTTCATTACGTAACTAATAGTCTACGTCATTGAAGGGGGTCAGCTCTGCTTCTATTTCCAGTGTGTTCTGGGTTCATAGTCCAATGCCGTTTACAGGGCTGTGGAAGAAACCAGTGTTTCCGTGTTTTTATTTAACCGCCTTCCTTCTCTTATTACGTTGCTTGTAAGTCCGATTCTAGCTTTACATGGTGAGAGGGTTGAAAGCCCTTCATATTGTCACTGATATGGAGTGATTATAGACGGGGGTTTGGATTTATTGGGCTCTTAGGCCGCGCCATAGCTCAAGCGGTTAGTCGCTGGCTTCCCATTGCAGCGGCCCGGGTTCGATCCCGGGTCTGGTCAAGTGGGATTTGTGGTGGCCACAGTGGCGCTGGGGCAGGTTTTCTCCGAGTACTTCGGTTTCCCCTGCCGAACTTCCTTCCACCAATTGCTCCACAATCACCCTCACCTATCACCTGGGGCTGGTACAATAGGCCATAAGTGGCCGCAGTGCAAGGGACTTAGTCCCACCCCACTAGCAATAAAAATAATATTGGGCTCTTAAGATAACATAATTACAAATAAGGAGTATACACTCACTGTTCTACTCACTTCACAAATCACTTTAACCACAGCACACATAAAGTCTTCTCAGTTTGCTGTGTCTTCACCAGTCGTCGCCTGGTGACGGATCCTAACAGTGTCCTCTGCTTCCGTGCTCACGTTCTTAGCGGCTGGCAACTATATCACAAATAACCCATTCCTCAAATTTTTCATTTGTCCTGCATATAACACCTCGACACAGACCGCGTAGGAAAGACTGCTCCTCTGTTGCAGTGCAATTGTTATTGTTGCGTCCGTGTCTGGTGTTGGAGCCGTTACCTAGTAACGGCTGTTGTGCATTCGTCCATTTTGCTGTCGTTGCATATCAACGGATCCACATGCCACAATATAATCATCACGTAGGAGGACCACCCTTTGTCGACTATCTACGACTACTTATCCAGTATCTTCTCGGCTACACTTCATTTCTCGAAACCATTCCTTTGCAACCTGAGAAAGTACCAGGCCATGAATACAAGGAATCGATAAGAGAGTAATTTCTTGAACAGGTGGACTACTATCAGCTTCTCATGGAGTTAGGAATTACTACATTTGTGTTACAGCATGTATCATACGCAGTTGAAGAACCACAAGCAGTTGTTGGGCAAACTGTGGGACAGGTTTCATTCGCCAATATTTCTCAGAACTTCAAACAAATGCAGACTATTCGCAATAAAGGGCTGATAAGCCCCACACGAACCTGTCCTTCGAGAACAGCCCATTTCACCCATTCACGTCTGAGGATTCGGTATTACCCAGCTATTCTTCATATCCGGGGATACTTAACTTCATCCGCAACCCAAAGAGCGCCATGTCTAGGCGATGGTCAGTGTTCTCATGAGACATATCTCGCCCGTTTTTTTATTATTAATTAATTAAAGACTGGGTAACCCAGAACTTAATTACAATTAAAACTAGTTGAATAACTAACGATTAGTTTTTTTTCTAAACCTAATATACTACGTAAATTAAAACTAAGTCACTTCCACTGAATTACTTAGTACTTTCACATTTAACTAGTTCGAACGGTTTCTTCCGTTTTAGTCGTCTAATTATATTGTTCACGTTGAGAAGTATGGACTCTTCAATGTTGACCTGGTTTTGGAGTCTCTTTTCATGAGAGGTGGCGGACTTAGCGATGATATCTGTAACCGTCTCGATCCCAAGGTCACGATGAAGGTCACTGTTACGAACGTACCATGGTGCGTTGTCAATACACTTTAGCACTTTGTTCTGATAGCGTTGAATTACTTGAATATTGGATTCACTTGCGCAGCCCCAGAGCTGGATACCATAACTCCAAACTGGACGTAGAGTATCTCGCCCGTAGCGTAGAAAAGGTGAATACACAATTCATATTAAGTTTCAGCTGTTGCTTTTCATATAGCAGCTGGCGGTAACTTAAGGAGAAATGATCGTGGAATGTGTGCTCCATATCCTTTCACTGGTTTATTTATGTAAGCGCATATCTCAAGGATCTGCCATTTGAAAAAACGGCATACGAGTCCACATTTTGGCGAAACTGAATTAGGTACGTATCATGTGCTTAAATACATAGACATATACACGTATTCTGTGAAACAGCAGAATGAAGCCGGCTTCCCATTGTACTACTTATGGGTCATTCAAAGGTGGCTTCAATGCAGAGTGTTCTTGCCTACATGGGCTTAATCCCCCATGTTTGTAAAATCATGGAAAACTATGTCTGAGCACTTAACATCAGTTTTGACGTATGTAAGATTTCAGAATAAATTTGTTTCAATGTGATTTATTTCTAATATCCATTTTTCTAGTAGGACTTGAGTCTGAAGAGTGAACTATGGGTATATTCAATTATCAAAATTATGAGTAAAGAGGAGCTTAAGTTAATAGACCTATTTAACCTTGAAACGACCGCCTCTGTGTTCAGCGTTCCTGGCTACAGATCCAGAGGTCCGGGTTCGATTCCCGGCGCTATCAAATTTTTTTTGGAGAAGTAGTGGGTCTGGAACGGGGTCCACTCAGCCTCGTGATGATAATTGAGGAGCTATTTCAAGGAAATGGCGGCTCCGGTCTAGAAAACCGAAATTAACTGCCGTGGGGATTCGTTGCGCTGACCACGCGACACTCTCCATCCGCAAGAGTTGGCACTAACTTCGCCGAGAAGCGGCGGTCGCTCGGTCGGTACAGTTCGCTTGCGAACTGAAATCACGGAGTTTGTTTCTTTGTTTTGTTTGTATTTAACCTTGAAACTGCTGTGACCCGCTGTTTCAATTAACTTTATATACAGTATTCTCGTTTTTCTGAAAAATCCATTTCGTTGGACTCATGCCATA